ATAACATATGGTACGTTTTCTCTCAAGGTTATGACCTAACTTATCTACTCTTTGCATACCTAAATAAGTGTATTACTTAAACATTTGCACCATTTACATGCGAAGGCTAGCTAGTAGGTCAGTTCATATGATCTTATCTTGTCTAATATGAATATTTAATCTGATTTGACTTTCAAATTTGACTGAACTTTGACTTTATTTATATATACTATAAAAATAAAAACATATCAAATGATATTTGATATATATTAATATTAATATATATATTTTCCATATTCATGGGTGTTTGTAGACTTTGTTCCGCAAGGTACATTAATCTTGGTGGAGCTTGTGATTATTCTGTAACTCTTTTTTATTAATAAAAATCTACCCCTTCCCATTTGCCATCAAAAAAAGTTAAAGATCGATATTTGATTAAAACTAAACATAAATTAAACTGTAAGAGATCTGATCTAATCTGGTCTAATTGATTATTGTGAAATAAGCTAATATCAACTTAGGATACCGTGAAAGATCGATCTTCCAACCTACTGTATGTCACTAGCAAAATTTTTAAAAAATTCCCAGGTTAATTATGAAGAACCAAAGCCACAAAGGTAACGTCTTTGAAATATTGAATAGTAGTATCAGGGCATCAAAAGATGCAAGGTCAAAAAAGTAAACAAGAAACTGTGTTTGAAATTCAATACAGTACAAAAGATGAAGTTAAAGAAAAAGTAGAGATAAGTAACTTGATAACGCCTTTGAAACATTGAATAGTATCAGGTTCCGGGCATCAAAAGATGCAAGGTTAAAAAATAAACAAGAAACTTTGTTTGAAATTCAAAAAAAAAAAAATCAAAACAGTACAAAAGATGAAATTAAACAGAAATTAGAGATAAGTAATTAAAGAATAATAATAATAAAATTAAGTGCAGAAAAATATGTTCAAGTGTCGCAGTCCATGAGTGTTTTGACACCAAATCCTACCGAGCTAGACCCGGTTAATATCAGATATAAACAACCCAACATTGCATTTATTATCTATTCTCATTTCCATCCATTTATTACCTACCCTCCATAGGTAATAAAATAGTGGGAATTCACCTCTAAATATTCTCATTCCCAAACTTCATTTTATTCACATTCCCATCAAACAAACAATGCTCTATTCTTCAATTGAGATTAAAACTCTCAATCTCACCCTCAATTCCCACATACCAAACATCCTGTAAAAAAAAATTGGCCGAAAACTTGAGCAAAAGAGCTTGTAACTCTCAATCAGAACCTCAAACATAATTAGTCAAAGATTTTATGAAGGGTCATAAATGCAAGAAATCCTTGCATTTATTTCAGCATCGACATTCCTATTTAACGAAAAAACTGTAAATTGAAGCAACCAATTAATTAATACTCGTGTAATCATAGAATATACTACGATATAATTCTCGTATTATACCATTTAAAGCGAATTGAATGATTATGCTTATTAAATGACTATTTTCTTCTTCGTATTTTTAGTTGGGTTTTGCATTGTGATGTGACCATTTTTTTCCTTGCACAGATGTGAGAGGTGTTAATTCGGTCGGTTTCTTCTAAGATTTCTTTTTTGAGAGGGTTTTTCTAGCCTTTATTGCTAGATTTTTTTTTTATTATTATTTTTTTTAAAGGTATTCCTTCACTCTTCTTCCTTTTCTCATCTTCTCTTTTATCAATTTTCTTCCTGGTTTGAATTGTGAATCTTTATAGGGACTAACCTCTTATTTAACTCTTGTTTCTATATATGTTTTAAACCTAATATAACAATTTTAGGTTTTCACTTATTGTAGTGTATGTTCCTTATTAATTACTCGATCACAAGTAGATATGATTATACATGTCTCTGTTTAGAGGTATCAAATCAGGTCGATTCATTTTCATGTAAGACTTATTTGAGTAGATTTAATGTCTCTAATAAGGAACGTTTCATGTGACATACATATTCACATTCATGAGCAGCTGCTTTGGAACTTTCATGTGACATACATATATATATATTATTTAGAAATGCTCGATTCATAATCACTTATGAATGTTTTCGTTCACATGTGCATCTAATTATTATATAAAAGTAGTTTAATAGTCGTATTTGTTAGTGACACACTGTTTGATTAATTCGTACTCCATATATATTCCATAATTAGTTATCCACCAGATCATCTAACGTGTACATCCATCCATTGAAATGGAAAATATAATCCATTGCTACTAATAATACGAGTCATAGCTAATTAAAATAATGTTTAACGGAGCTACGTGTTAGGTCACTTCTTTCATAACTTCATTCACAAACAAATAAATATACATTGTTCAAAAAACGCGGTGTGGTTAACAAATATATACTAGTAGTATTATCATATTATGTACTTATTATGCATGTTTGTGGTTGGAAATTATTGACAAGTGATGTGTAGATAATCTTGTATAATTGAAGAAATATATAATTAGCTTTGGATTATTGAAAAAAACAGATTTGATTCAGATTTGATTTTCTCTATAATATCTTGTGATGTGAATCATGGTGTTGATGATCATATTATCGATTGAGACCAATTCGATCAAGTCCCTATATCTTAATGAAACTCCCATTCAAGGTTAAAAAAATGTGTATGAACTTATAAATTAGAGGTAGATCAAATGAACCTATCATCATTAAGTAATTGTATTAGAAAGAATTGACTAATTTCAATATACGTAAGCTAATAATTTGTCAATGGACCAAGCCAACGTGAAAATCAAATCAAATTGCTCAATAATTTGATAGTTTCGTTGATAGAAATAATTTAGGAGCAGAGGTGACAAAGTGATCATTTGAATTAGGTTATTCAAGTTATGTCAGTTTGGTTAGGGCAAACAATGCATGATCTATGCACCCGGGTGCACCATGCACATGGTGCACCTAATTAAATAAAAAAAAGGCGGAAATAACATTTAGCTGTTTGAAAAAGAACATGCAGGTTTTTGAAAAAGAACATGTTTGTGTTTAACAAAGAACATGCATTATTAAAGAACAAAAAGACATTACAAAAAGAACGTGATAAAAACTTTATTAAAATTTTACGAAAAATTACACATTAACGAAAAAAAACTTTACCAAAGATATCATTTCCCCAAAAATTGTTTTTTCTCTCTCCAAAAATTAACTTTCCATAATAATTTTTAGTTTTTTCTCTCTAAAATATTTTCAACTAAGAAAAAACCAAGATTTCATTTTCAAATTAAATTTCAAAATTCAAAATAACATATGTTAAAAGAGCATAAAATATAATGTAAAGAACATATAATTCATACTCGAAGAACACACTGATCAAACTCAAAGAACATATGATAATAAAAAATAATGATATATGATAATTCAAAAAAGAATTTGTGCGTCACTCGTTACCTCAAAGAAAATACGAGTCAAATTCAAAGAGCATACTTTGTATTATTGAAACTCAAAATTGTTTTAAAAATGTTTTTAAAATGGAAAATGTCCATTAAGGATAATAATTTAAAACTGAAAGCAGATTAAAAGAAATAATTCCCTATAATTTCGCCCAGATTTTTTTATTTTATTTTCCAATATTTTTTTTATTTTCCACTAAATTAATGCTAATTAGTTATGCCACATCACCAGGTGCACCATGAGCATGGTGCACCCTGGTGTATTATACAATTTTCATAGGGCAAATTTGGGTATTTCTTGCTTCAAGTGGTTTTGAGTCTACTCAAGTCTATTCATGTTTGAAATTGTACTGTGTAAGATCTATGATGCTCGGTGAACTCAAATAAGCATTTTTGGTTTTCATGTTTGATTTGAATTGAGTTATTTCATATTTAGTTGGGTTAATTATTGTGCAAGTATCCTTAGGTGCAAACCGCTTACATAGAATTGACAAATACAGTTTTTGGTATACATACAATTTATGGTATATACTTTGTATATTATGAAAACTTCATGAGAGAGTATAAAACATATTCTTGGGCATCAACCCATCAGATTAAGCTTTTAGTTGAGTTGGTTCTTTAACAATTCAAGACTATCGATCTTTAAATTAAGCTTGAGATATAAGTGTAATATAATTGTTCAGCCAACCAAAAAACTTGTAAATCGACTACATAAAGGGAGATGCACATATATTGCATCTAATCCCCCCACTCACACACACACAAAAAAAGTGAATAATTTTTTTTTTTTTTGTTTTTTTTTTACAATAAAGTGAATAAATTTTTATTTGTGAGTGTTGTAAGGAAAAAATTGCTCCTTTCATTTCTTTATGTTATCTTGAAAATGAATTGTGAATATTAATACTCTTTCGGTCAAATATTTATAATAAAAAGCATACTCATATGAGATTTTCGATCTTCGTTATATTTATTTTGATGTGCAGTTTTAAAAAATATTTTTCAAATTTAAAGATATTTATGATTAGGCAAAAGCTAACGAGCGCCCCCAGGGCGTTAGATAAGAGAACTAAAAGTGAAAATATTAGAATAAAATTAACTAACATTTATAATTACACCGAATGAAGCGTGATTTTGTCATGCATTTATAACTTAATACTATTTTAAGTAATATATTCATTAGTTATCTACCGGTCATGGACGCTCATTAGCAAGATCCCTGTGATTAATGTGTGTATTGCAAATTATGCAAGAAACAACCATAATAAATTATTGTATATAGAAGCCGAAGAGGGAGTAGGTAATTTTGTATTTGAAATCGAATTAATTGCGGGTACATTTATCACGTATTGAGTTGGACGGTACATTTACAAGGTCTAATTAATTAGGAGCACCCACGTGCACCATAGAATAGAAAAATTAACGCAAGAAATGATATCATAGGTGTATCAACTGTTTAAATATAAAGCACGCAACCAAATAACATATAATTAGAAGATAATATATTCAATTTTATGTAGGTGTGGAGAAAAAAAGCATAGGAAGTATATATATATATATATGTACATGCATTTCTATTACACCAAGTAAAAATATTGTGTATAGCAATTATATAAAATGGAACCAAATAAAAATTCCAAACAACAAGCAAAAAAAGAGCTATTAGATGCAATATCACATGTATGGAACCGTGGTTTATCTTTCCTAAATTCCATGGCTTTAAAGTGTGCCGTTGAACTAGGCATCTCAGATGCCATTAAAAAGCATGGTAAACCCATGACTCTTATTGAGCTAGCTAATTCTCTTTCGATCCATCCAAACAAGGCTTCATCCTTACACCAATTGATGCGCCTTCTTGTTCACTCCAATGTCTACACTATCCAAATTTTAGGGACTAGAGAAGAAGCATATGATCTTACCTTAAACTCCGAACTACTTTTAGAAGATCACCCTCTAACCCTAGCACCCTTAACTCGTATAGGGGTAACTCCACTTTCAACTGAGCCATCACATCATTTAGCTTTGTGGTTTCGAAACCAAGACCAATCTTGTGAGTCTCCTTTCCAAATTTCTCAAGGAATGCACTTATACAAAGGCATGCCTTATGATACCGAACTCAATGGCATATTCAACCAAGCCATGGCAAGTGATTCTCAATTGATCGCGAACTTGTTGCTGGCTAGTGATGAATTTGAAGGCTTAATCCACGGTGTTGAGTCACTCCTCGATGTTGGTGGAGGTAATGGTACTATGGCTAAGGCCATTGCTAAGGCTTATCCTAAGATGAATTGTATCGTGTTTGATCAACCACATGTAGTGAACGAGTTACAAGTACATGAAACAGCAAACTTGACATACGTCGCAGGTGACATGTTTCAAGCTATTCCTAATGCTCAAGTCATCCTACTCAAGGTAAAATACTATTAGCACATCCATTTTCATTTATTATTTTATATAGTAGAATATACAAGTATTTTCTTACACCATGAACTCATGAAGTGTATTAATAAATGAGAAAAGTGTAGTTCTAGTCAACTTTGTCATCTAGGTACATTATAATTGCAAATTACGCTTTAATATTTTCTTAAAGAAAAAATCCAAGCCTCCATTTTCTTCTTTATGTTGTTGGGCATAAGTTCCTCTTTTTGTAAAAGACCATGTGAATTTATGTAGGTGCTTCATTATTAAAGTTTTAGCTACTTCTTTCGTTAAAAAAAATAAAATAAAAGGTTTTAACTACTTTTACATGTGAATTAAGATTTTCTCTCTTTTCAAGTGATGGAATGATCCACGTCACTTATTTCTCTTTTTTCATGTACTATTACTATGTTTTAATATTACTATATTCTAGTCAATATATAACAAATATACATTATTAGTACTTCCTCATCGGTAACCAAACTTGAAATCTATTTTGCAGTGGATATTGCACAACTGGAGTGATGAAAATTGCATAAAGATACTTAAAAAGTGTAAAGAAGCAATTCCTAGTAGAGAGAAAGGGGGAAAGTTGCTGATTATAGATATGGTGGTTGGGATCCCAACTGACAATATAATTCACTTTGAATCCCAATTACTAGCGGATGTTCATATGTTGTACCTTTTTGGAGAAAAAGAAAGGACTGAACAACAATGGAAATCACTGTTCGATAAGGCTGGTTTTTGTGACTACAACATATTACCAATTTTAGGGTCGAGGTCTATTATTGAGGTTTATCCTGCATAATTATAACCTTTACGGAGTTATGTATGTTTGTGTTGGTATTTCATTTCACATATTGTAATAAGTTTCATCGGCGTGCATTAAGGTGTAGGCGACGTATGTAAAGTCGTCACTCCTGTATGTTCTTTTTATCATGCTTTTGTATATTTGTTTATCAAAACTTATTTCTATGTGTTTGTTCGTGTTTACATTTGTACGTTCTTTTTACTTATTAATGCTTAATTGAATAAAGATGAGATAAGTTTATGTTTTAAATTGTCTCTTTTTTAATTTGTCTCTTTTTTAATATATATATATATATATATATATATATATATATATATATATATATATATATATATATATATATATATATATATATATATATATATATATATATATATATATATATATATATACTTTGTATATAAGTTCTTTTGAGAGCATGATGCACATCACTCTATGTGGTTTGAGGAAGTAACTAACGAAGAAGGCTTTTCAAGTGATGAAGAGGGGGCTTCATTATGAATGGTATAATGATGGAAGTCGTGGTCAATGAAGAGGCAATTTCCATGGTCAAAAATATTGAGCTAGATCTGTTTTGGGTATTTTTACCCAGAACACGTGGTCCAATGGCAAGGTGACACTTCAGGAGAGGTTCCCAGAGAACCAATCCCCTGCTAACACGTGGCATCTCTAATGATTGGGAAAAATGGCGGCCTTTCTGGCCCAATTCCCAAGGAAGCCCACCATTCCTAGGTTTCAGTAACCTAGGATGGCGGCACGCATTTCGAGACTCTATAAATAGGGAGATGTTCCCATCATGGGACACATTCATAAATATTCACAAAACCAGAGCAATCATTAATTGCAGATATTCTCTCGGAATCCGAGAAGATACTTTACTTTCCGCACTTTTTACAGACTCCATACACGTTCTAACTTGATCGTCGGAGGCGGAACTCCATCCAACCGGAGTTTCCCGTTGTTTTGCAGTAACAGGCGTCCAGAATCCAGTCTTGGTGTTGTAACTCTCCCGAGGGACACAAAAAACCTCGAAACATTTGGCGCCGTCTGTGGGGAGAGTACTTCTAAGATGGCTTCGCATGAGTCTGTACCGCCTGCTAATGAGAAACGGCCTTTGGCCGGAGTAGAGGTCTATACAGACCAAGACAGTGGTGATGACTTCGATGTCGACCCCTATGTGGCCCCAGATGGGTCATTCCAGAACAAGGCACACCCGTCCTTTAGAAATAAAGGAACAGGGTACTAACCAAGCTGGCCCAAGTGTGCCAATCGTAAAGTCGTCTGAACCCCAGGAGCAAAAGGTGCAGCCCCTGTCACTTGAAATGAGCTCATGGAATTCATGACAAGTTTCAAAGGGGAAATCAAGGATCTGATCAACAAGAAGACGGCTAGCTCCAACAGGGGTCAGTCGGCCAAGAAGAAAAAGTCAGTCAAGGACCATGTGCCTACTCCACATCCCAAACCAAAATATGAGAACCGGCCCTTGATTGATTTGTCTAAGATCCGATTTCCTGAAACAGGGAAGAGGAAGGCCATCCGACAAGTTCAGCCGGATGGATCAAAGAAGACTTATTCGGATGCCCGGATGTTAATCCAGCAAAAGAAAAGTCAACAGCTATCTGAGTCGGCCTCAACATCGACCTACCCAGACAACTTTCAAAATACCTCGATGAGGTATTCGCAATCGAACCGAGAGGGTCAGTCAGGCGGCCTGTCCATCCATTCTGGCCCTCAGATCCGTATGTGCCTCAGCAGCCATACATGCCGTATGGGCAACAATATATGCAGCCGGCTCTCTTTGGGGGTCAGGCGGCACAGAATGTCTAACCTTTGGACTTGCAGCTTCGTCTACTCAAACTTGGGGAACAACCTTCCGCATTCTCCAAGGAGATGAGGCAGCCGAGCCGGCGAAGGTTAAAAATGTGTTGGTATGTAATTATGATGGTATCACCAACCCTGAAGACCACCTGATGGCCTACACCAACCTCATGTACCTACAGGGGTTGGACGATGCCACCTGGTGCCGATGCTTCCCGGCTACATTAAAGGACATTGCCCAACGATGGTTTGGAAACCTGCCAGCCGGATGCATAAACAGCTTCAAGACGCTTACGTACTTGTTTGCTTCCAACTTCTCTATGAACATCCCTACAAAGAAAACAAGTCTAGACTTGGGTGCTATATGGCAGGGAGATAGAGAAGGGCTTAGGTCCTACGTCAGGCGGTTCAACCTGATGAGAATTCAGATTCAAGGATTGTCTGACAAAGTGGTCTAGGGTTTCGTAGTGACCCGACACTACGCGGAAGGAAACCCACCAAGACCGCCCCTTAATTAAAACAATTAACAAACATATTAAACTTAATCAAACAAGATTAAGAACAAGAATTATACCTTTGTCGCGTGCTTCGCTCCCAAAGAGCTCTTACTTCAGAATCCCGAAAACACGAGATCTCCGACGGATCGTAACCTCGACCCGACCCGAGCGTCCTAAATCTTGAAGGTTAGTCAAGACCCGGACAAAATAACTATAAGTTTTACGAATCAAAGGTTTACTCTTACTTAGAGTTGCCTTTTTAATTCCACTCAAGGTTGTTCAATTCCCAATACCCAAGCATGGTATTTATAGGGAAAAGAACCCTTGGTTTTCAATCTCCCATCAATGTGGGAGAGTTGAAAAATCAATGATTTATTTAATTCCAAATTAAATAAATAATCAAGTAAATCACATTGCGACAAGTGGCATGATCACATGCAAAAGAGTGGTGGCCAAGGTTAGGTGGGGGACCATATGCCTTGCTCCCCAAGGCCTTGATTTGGTCCCCACAACCTTGCACAAAACCGGGTCAAGGGAGGCTAGCTGGCTGCCAGCTAGGGCTGCCAGCTAGCACTGCCTTGCTGCCTAGCACCCAGCCAGTGTGTGCTGCTGCTGGGCTGTGCTGGTGCTGGTGCTGGTGCGTGCTAGTGCCATGCGCTGGTGCGTGCTAGTGCTAGGCGCTGGTGCGTGGTGGTGCTGGCCCTAGCACTCCCACGCACTGCCTCGCACACTCACACACATCCACACTACGCGCACCCACGCATCCAAGCCCATGCTCGCAATGCCTAGCATGCGTGCTGCTAGCGAGCCACGCATGTTGGGCTTGACGCTGCTTGCTAGCTCTCCCTTGCATACACTCACACAGCCACACACACCAGCCTCGGCCATGCACCATGCACTATGCATGCACAAGCCTCGGCCAAGCACCATGCGCTAGTGCCTAGCACTAGCTTTGCTTGGTGCGTGTGGTCCTATCATGCGCCCAGCATTGTGCTAGGGCCGCGACGGCACCCGGCCATCCTAGGGCACGCATGGTGCGCCTAGAGATGCTGCCTGGGCTGCGATGGTGCCCAGCCATCCTAGGGCACGCATGGTGCGCCTAGTGATGCTCTTTGGCTTGCGATGGTGCCCAGCCATCCTAGGGCACGCATGGTGCGCCTAGTGATGTTGTATGGGCTGTGATGGTGCGCCTAGCACACCTAGTGTGCTTAGGCTTGCGCCTAGCCATGCTAGGTGCATGCTAGCTTGAACTAGCCTAGCATCCACATGGTTAGGCTAGTGCAGTGCTAGGGCTATGTTCATACTTGTCGCTTTGTGATTTTTGCGACGCTCAGTCTCGACGCCCTAGGCTCGATATCCGACGTTTGTATTCATAAAACTCTGTCGACTCATTAAATCCTTTCGGATTAATTCGTCGTCTCGGATCGGTGATTCGATTGGGTTCGACCCGAAGGGTTCAGTTAAGATTAAGCTGTAACATCAATTGTACATTGATATTACTGATCGGAAGCGGCCTCCACCTAGGCATTCCGATCACTTGACCTTACTGAAGAATTAGCTCCGTAATAATTCTGAACCCTCTATCGGAAGAATACACTTGTTGGAAGGACACCATTCCTTTCAAGTGGCTTACATAGACTTCTTCAAAGTTCTGAAAGACAAGTCGACCTTTAAGTTCGACCTTGTCTGAAAGAGGGTTGCTACCCTCCAAGAGGCGCTGATGGAGGCGGAAGCCTATATACAGGCGACTGAACTCTGTGCCATCAGCAAGCAGTCGGACCCTAAAAAGTCCGACAAAAAAGATAGTCGGTCTGCTCAGCTGGCTAAAGAAGAAGAGAGCAAGAAACGAAAAGAAGACTGGGTGGTAGATAACTCTAATCAGCCATCCTAGAAGAAAAAGAAAGAGTTAAAACCGTACGTCCCCAAGTACGAGTTCAACAAAGACTGCTACTCCATCCTCATGGAGATCAAAGACCGGGTGACAATTGAGAAACCGGCTGCAATGAAAGGTCCCGCCAAAAGTCGGAACAAAAAAAAATACTGCCATTTTCATAAGGATATAGGCCATGACACCAACGACTATTATAGCCTCAAACGGTTGTTGGACCGACTGGCGGATAAAGGGGTGCTGAAGTCCAAAGTGACCCTGAAAACAAACGATGGATAGCCGTCCAAAAAAGCAGACCAACTTGCTATTAGTTCGAACACTGACGAAGAATAGATCTATACTATAGCAGGCGGTTTTGCTGGAGGGGGTCCAACCATCCGGGGCACCAAAGATTATATCAGGCGGCTGGATGTCAACTCAGTGGATAAGGACCAGGCGTCAAAAGACACCTTTCATGAGGTCATTATCACTGAGAAGGACAGGGGCAAGGTCAGGCGGCCACATGATGACCCCATAGTCATTGAATGTAAGGTCGCCAACCAAAGAGTAGGCCGGATCCGCACAAAGTCTCTCACCCTTTGGTTGGTTTTGGGGGTGGAGTAGTGCATCCGGTGGGGAGGATTGACCTACTCATACGGCTAGGAGAGAAGGGGGAAGGGCGCCATACGATCGTCAAATTCTTGGTTGTTGAAGAATTGACTGCCTATAACCTGATATTGGGTCGTCCCGCCCTTAATGAATCCAAGGCTGTCATCATCCCATCCCTCATGCTCCTGAAATTTGAGAGGGATGATGGGTCAGTGGGATCACTGAATGGGGATCAGAAGACGGCAAGGGAATGTTATCTCTCAGACGTCAAGCTTACTGTGGCCTTAGCCAGCCAAGGCAAAGAACCCATTAACCTTGATGACTTCAAGGAAGCTGCGCCTGCTCCTAAGGCATCCGGAAAAAAGAGAAAGGCGGACCAGTGGTGGCAGTAAAAAAAGAAAAGCAATAGCAATCACTGATCGGGGAACGGTCAGATGACCTCCGTCCCCAGCCGGCTG